ACCACCATGCCCAGTCTCCGTGGCTGGCACAGAATGTGGCAATGAGGATCGAACCACGGTCCCTGCACTTGGCTAGACAGGTGCTTAGTCCACTGAGCTATCTCACAGGTCATATATGTATATATAATATTTAATGTATAATATGTGATATTCATAATATATGTATATATTCATAGCCAAAAGATTAGAAAGCTATGCACTAAGCAATGTGCAGTGACTACATGTAATTCTTTCTTAATAAGGAAAGGTTTATAACTGGCTTTGGAGGCTGCAGTCCTAGCACTCTTGGAGGCTTAGGTAGGATAAGCCAAGTTCAGGCCCTGCCTAAACAATTTAGCAGCTTAAGAAGATCATGTCTCAAAAATTTAAAAGGCCTGGAGATACAGTTCAGTGCAAAGGTCCTGAGTTTAACCTCCAGAAAAATATATATGTGTGTGAGTGTATAGACATATGTATGTATGTGTGTATATATATATATATGCATGTATATAATGTATATATGTAAGAAACATTTTCTTTACAATAAATTATAAATATGCAATACATAAAATTAAAAATAAATATTTACAGCAATTTCATTCCCTTTAATAAATGTCTCCTCTATAACATATCAAATAAAAATTATAAATGACATAAAATATAAAAATATATACATGCAAAATGGCAAAATACAGAATATAAATAACCCTGATTGAATATGCAATAAAGTACATATATATATTTCAAAGATTTCTGTATTACAGTGATAAATAATGAGTGACTTTATTTTTTCTTAGTATTTAACTTTTTCCCACTATCACCAATTTTATTCAAAATATTTTTGGAAACATTAGCCAGAACAATTAAAAAATATGGAACGCTTCACGAATTTGTGCGCCACCCTTGCGCAGGGGCCGTGCGAATCTCTGTATCGTTCCAATTTTAGTATATGTGCTGCCAAAGTGAGCACTAGTATTTCATTTTTGCTTCGTTCATCTGGTCAGTATTTTCATGTCTACCTACTTTCTTTTTCTTTTTTCTTTGGTTCTAGGCATTAAACTGAGGCCCTTGCGGTTGTCAGGCAGGTACTTGTGCTACTGAGCTATCTCCTGACCTTATAGTTACCTCCTTAAAAGAACAAAGATGGATTTAGCTGTCCAAAGTTTGGATTCAAATGGTATTCTATCCTATGGATAATATTTTAAATTATGTTCAGCCATCATTTTTCAATCCTGAGCCGTCTTCAGGACCTAGTCCAGAGCATGTGCTCAGTAGGGGACTTTTGGGCCTCTGAACAACTGAAGATAAAAGCACTTAAGTTAGCAGGGGCTTTCAGGGGGGATTTCCTTTCTCAGTTATCTCACTATTTCACAAGGTGGTGCTCTCCCAGAGACAATGACACCACAGGGAGTGGCTCTGAAACATTCCTTGGCTGTCTGTTGGAGATTCCTTCACAGAGCTTTCACTTTCACTCTGAACATATTTAGAGGTAAACTTCTTACCCACTGCCTCTAAGAGGACTCACAGACACTACCCAAATCCTCCTCCTTCCCCTCCCCCTCCCTCCCTCCCCCTCCCCTTCCTCTTCCTCCTCTTCCTCCTCCTCCTTCTTCTTCCTTTTTGATGGTACCAGGGATGAAACTCTGGGCCTTGCACTTGCCAAGCAAGCACTTATTCCACTGAGCTATCTCCCCAGCCCAATCCTGGTTCTTCTTTCCTCTATCACTCCCCTTCAAACCAGCATACACAATAAAAATTTCCATCCAAATTAAACTCTAATTTGCCCCTCTACATGAGATAATTGTATCTCAGAAACAGACAATAATAGAGGCTGTTACTTTTTTCTGACATCTTTCTTTTTTCTTGGTACCAGGGTTCAAACGCAGGACCTTGCACTTGGCAGGCAGGTTCCTATGCCACTGATCTATCGTCCTGGCCCTTGTTTCATTTTTCTAACTGTGTGGGTAGTGGGGCCCTTAATGATCTCCAAATGTCAATCTAATATTTGCCAACTAATTGTGAAGCCATTTAGAAATTCGTGTTTTCCATCCTGGTAGTTAGTGTTTTAATGAAAAATAAAACTACAGGGAAATTGCAACTCATTTGATGTTTCATGGACTATTTTAATGAAAAATAATTAAATTATAAATTAACCAATTATTCAAGAAACTATTTTGCATGATTATTTGTAATGACTTGTTTCCTTTACGAATGTTGTCTCCTTTCCCTCAACCATAATTTTGAGACAATTGTAGTAAGAAGTTTGGAAGAGAAAACACCTACCCAGGGACTGGCCATACTGCTCAAAGGAATAAAACTGATATTCCTCATACGCTAGTTCACAAAATAGACACAAACAAAAAGCAGTACTCACACATATTTCTGTAAAACAATTTTTTGTAAAGTAAGTTTGACCCTTCTCTGTCTTCTGTAGAAATCTGTGAATGCTTTTGGATTTCAGTTACTGCTAAGCAGCATGAGGAAAACAGAACACTAGCTTCATGAGGGCTCAAACGGAGAAAAGAAGCAGAACACAGGCAGGACTTCCTCACTCTATCTGGGCACAAGAGGACTAAAGGAAGGGAGAGGAGAAGGGATCTAAAACGGCACTGCACCTCCCAGAGCTTTGTCACTAATGAGCAAAATTTACTTCTGGGCTCCATGCAATCAATCAGCTTCTGCCTCCATTTTATTTATTACTAACAATGCACAACCAAGAGGGAAGGCTAAAGGCAAGTCTTTTTTTTTTTTTTTTCTTATTTCTTTTTCCGGAACCGGAGATTGAACTCAGGCCCTTATTCTACTGAACCATTTTCTAGAGACACTCAAAAGAACACACAGTGGAGAAGTTTGTCAACAGCAGAAGCTTTGCACTGGGCAAATGGTGGGTGCAGGACACAGTTCTATGCAACTGAATTTAAGAATCATGCTCAAAAGGGAAACAGAAGATCCACTACAGTAGGTAAAGAATGATTATGTAGGTGACAGAGTTACATTTGTCTTTAAATTTTCATTCATTTGCTTTCATATCATTAAATAAGCCTTAGCATATAATATATATAATAAATTATCTGTAAATGTAGTATCTATAATAATCATAAACGTATTTATATAGGTACGTGTGCATTCCTTAAAAGCTGTTTTCCCTTGGTGCTTTAAGCATGCATCCTCTGGTACACACAGTTGTACTTAAGTTAAACAATCCTTGATGATTTTATTACCCATCACTAAACTAATCCTGCTTTTCAAGAACCCAGTGATATTTCAAAGCAAGGCACACTCTTTGCTTTAGTGGAGTGGTTAGTGTGTGTGTGTGTGTGTGTGTGTGTGTGTGTGTG